TCTACGTCGTGGGAAACGCCTGGGGCGATTGCCATGCCAAAGTGGGCGCTGCCAGTGGTTCCTTTGGCCAAGGCGCCGCGGATCTGCTCGGGCCCCCTCTGGAGCTCCGCGAGTTGCCCGGGCCCCTTGCTGGGGCGGGCAGGCGGGCCACCGCGCCAGCGCAGGGGTCGTCGGAGCCCCTCGGCCGTCGCAGCAAGCTGCCGCCGCCCGGGCCCGGACGGGGCGATCTGGTCGCCGTCGCGGAGCGGCCCGCCCGAGGGGCCCGAAGCAGCCCCGGCCGAGGCGCGCGGAGGCGCGGTCGCGCGGTGCATCTGCCGGGGCGCCCGCGCGCCCGGCTTCCCCCCCGGGGCGCGCCGCGTGCCGACCGAGCTGTGGCGCCGGCGGGCGCCCCGTGCTCTCTCTCTCTCTCTCTCTCTTTCCTCTCTCCTCTCTCTATCTGTCCTCTCTCTCTCTCTCTCTCTGTCTCTTTTTTTTTTTCTCTCTCTCTCTCTCTCTCTCTCTCTCCCTCCCTCCCTCCTCCCTCCCTCCTCCTCCCTCCCCTCCCTACCTCCTCTCCTCCTCCCCCTCCCTCCCTCCCTCCCTCCTCCCTCCCTGGCGCGCTCCGGACGGCTATCGGTTGATCGACAATCTTTCAGGAGGGAAAGAGACGCGCGGACCCACTCCATCGTCGACCCCCCGGAAAGTCATGGGACGCATGGGTTAGTGGGGGGGGCAACCAATCCAGACAATGGCAACATTTAGGGGCTCTTGTGCTTCGTGTGCATTTATGCGCGTGCCCCACGGCCCCCTCGCGGCGCTGGAGGCGGCCGCGAGGCAGCTCGAGGGCCGGGCCCTGGGGCCCGAGAGCCCGGCGGGGCCTCCTTGGGGCGTCCCGGGGGGGTCGGCCAGAGGACGGCCCGGCGGGGGCCGGCGCCAGAGGCCGACTCCGGGCGCGGGCCCGTCTGGGGGCGGCGCCCCACCGGGGCCCGGTCGGCTTATGGGGCTTGCCCGGAAGGCCTCTGGGGCGTCCTGGCGGTCGGCCAGAGGACGGCCTGCGGGGGCCGGCGCCCGGGGCCGACTGGGCGCGGGCGCGTCTGGGGGCGGCGCTCCACGTGGGCCGGGCCCTCGGGAAACGAAGGGTGGCATGAACATGAAAACTCGGAGGTCCGCGCGGATTTCTCGGATCCGCGCTGGACCCCCCTTGGCGGCGCCTCCGGCGCCGCCCCTGGCGCGCTCCGCGCGCCTCGGGAGGGGGGGCCAGCGCCGATCCGAGAAAGCCGCGAGGACCTCCGAGTTTTTATGTTTATGCCATTTTCTGTTCCCTTAGGTCCTCGGGCGTCGGCGGCGGGCCCGCGGGGGCGCGGCCCCGACTCTTGGGAGCGTTTCCGCCGACCTGGCCATCCGATGGCCGAGGTCGGCGCGGTCGCCTCCTGTGTGCGCCGCGCGCGTCGCGTTGGGGGGTCGGGTCGGGCTCGGGCGTTTCAGCGACCCTGTCGAGGCCCCCCGGACATCCCAGCGCGCAGTATACCCGCCTCAAACGATGCGGCGCGGGGGGCCGCCTCGGCAGCGGCTGAGGGCCTTGGGCCCCGAGTGTTCCTATGTGGGGTGGCCTGGATTTTGTCTCATGTAGCGTGGCGTGGGTTCGAGCGATTTGGACTTCTCTTCTACGGGCGTCCCTCCCTCCTCCCTCCTCATGACTATTACTATTTTATTGTTGTTATTCGCCTTCTCGTCTTCCACAATTCCTCACCAGCAGCCGCACATTATGAATGCTATTTCTCCCCTTTAGTGATTTCGTCCAGACGGTAACTGGCCACTATCCGTGCGTTGTTGTCTACATTCTCACGGGATCTCAAAAATCGTCTGTTCTTTCATGCATGTAGGATCAGACCACTTTCTCGGTTTTAGATTCGTGCTCGCGCTACAGCGAGGACCTCATCTTTGGATCGGCGCCCTGCCTTCATCGTTCAGAATGACGCTCTCGATCCAGCGCGGGCCATTTTCCTGGATGGGAGTCCTTTGACATCGTTGTCGCCCTCCTCGTTTCCCCGCCACCTTCCCTGGTCATCCTGCCTTATTCCGCCCAGTCAGTCCACTTCAACTATTGCTGTTGACCTTTTTCTTCGTCCTCCTCCTCCCTCATTCTCTTTTTCCTCCTGCTCACCCGCCACCTCCGCGTCCCTTTCCTATGAACGCAGCTCTCTTTTCTGGTTGGTTGATTTAAAGCTCCATGTCGGTTATCACACGCGACCGCGGATAGGGGACACATCCGGGAATAGGAAAGGATGGGGGGGAGGGAGAGGACGTCTGATGTCACGCAAGGGCCTAGCTTGTACTCCTCCTCATCCTCCTCCTCCTTCTCTTTCCTATATCTTGTTATGGGGGGGGGGTCGCCACCCGCGTTTCTTCAAGAGGCGCCTCCCGCCGAAGAGGCGCGGGCAGTGAGGCGTTTGTATTCCCACCCGCGAAAGAACCTGTCGTTCGACTCGTTGCGCTCTCCTCCTTTCTGTTCCTCCTCCTCGTTCCCCGTTCTCTTCCTCTTCACGCGTGTGTCCTGGGTCGGTGCGGTCGGTCGGGTCGGATACGGGCTCGGGCTCCGAGGGCGGTCAATCAGGGGCACGGTTCGGGGTGGGGGATAGGCACACGGGGTAACGCATCGACCCCTAATCGCCACTTGATCGCCGATGAGGGCCTGATATCCAACCGCGCCCAAGGAGAGTGCGGATTCGCCAGCGGGGGCCTATCGCCGACCTATTTGCGAAGCGTCGACGATTCCAGCTCGATGCTTTCCGCCCTGAGCTGGTCCCCCACCATCGCTCCCTTCGGTTCGAGTGTGGGCAAGGGTGTTTTCGGTCCAGTCCTGTCGGCCGCTTCGCAGCTGACTGCACTCGGTCGGTCTGGCTCGGTCGGTTGCGGCACCGATTCGTCCTTGTAGGCTGCATTCGGCCCGTCGGTGTCGGTTGGTTTCGTTTTTTTTTGATAAGTCGGTTTCCGATGTTGGTGTCGCCGTGGACGTCTATGTTACAGTGGGTTGTTGCACGTTTTGGTCGTGGATGCTGCTGATAAGCCTTTTTGGGTAGTGTCCCTTTCGCCACTCTGGGGTGGATGAGGCGGGAGGAGGTGGAGGAGGAGGTGGAGGAGGAGGTGGAGGAGGAGGAGGAGGAGGCGGGAAGGAGGAGGAGGAATAGGAGGAGGAGGGGGAGGAGGAGGAGCGCGGGTGGGCTGGTCCCCGGCACGGCGTCGGGAGCTCCGGGGGGCGCGGACGTGCAAGTCGCGGCGTCGGGGGCCTCGGCGCGAGGGAGAGGGGCCGAGGGAAGGGTAGGAGGCAAGAGGAGGCGGAAGCGAAGGAGCACGAGGAGGAGGAGGAGGAGGAGGAGGAGGAGGAGGAGGAGGAGTTTTGCCGCGCTACCATCGCTCCCTCTCTGCCCTTCTCTGTCTCGCCACCATCCTGGTTGGGGCTTTGACTGCCTGCCCCGAGCGCGGGAAAGAGGGAGGAGGAGGAGGAGGGGGAGGGGGGGAAGGCTGGGTGCCTCGCGGAGGGGAGGGGGAGGAGGGAGGAGGAGGAGGGAGGAGGAGGGAGAGGAGGGGGTGGAGGATGAGGAGGAGGGGGAGGTGGAGGGGGAGGAGTGGGTAGGAGGAGGAGGGGAGGTGGGGGAGGAGGGGGGGGCGGGAGGAGGGGAAGGCTGGGTGCGCTCGCGCCACATCTGATCATCATACCCCTCTCCCCCGCATGTCTATCCTCTCCGCCAGCGGGTGCCGTAGCGGACCTGGAATACCCCATGGTCCCCGTCGCGTTACACGCATTGTGTGATGGGCCTTCTGCAATGGAGGAGGAGGAGGGGAGGAGGAGGAGGAGGAGGAGGAGGAGGAGGAGGAGGAGGTGGAGGTGGAGGTGGTGGCAGATGGGCTGGAGGATAAGCAGGGGGAGGAGGGGAAGGATGAGAAAGGAGAAAGGACGAGGAGCAATTGTCGCATGAGGAGCAGGAGGTGCAGGAGGTGCAGGAGGTGCAGGAGGGGACCAGGGGCAGGCGGTGGAGGGGACAGGAACGGGGGCGACGAGAGCGAGGACACAGTCGGATCCGGAGACGTGGCCCGCGCTGGAGCGAGAGTGCGTCTCCCTGAACGTGGGGAGCACAGCGCCGATTCTGAAATGAGTCCAGCGCCGTCGCGGGAGCGCCGTTTCGGAAAGTCGGAGCGAAGCACAGGACGCGTAAGAAACGATCTCGGACCGAGCACGCGCAGATGCGCGGGAGGGGGGCGCGCCGCTCTCGGGAACTGGTCGGGGACGGGAGGAGAGAAGTATTCATGCTGTGTAACTCCGGGGTGAGAGAACCTGGATGGGGGAGGAGGAGGAGGAGGAACAGGACGCAGGAGGAGGAGGGGGAGGACGAGGAGGAGGAAGTCTGACTGACTGACTATGAATCGGACCCAACATGTCGTCACGACATGTAGCTACTCTACAGCAGGAGAGTGCGCAGGAACAGTCGAAGTCCTGGGTCTATCAGAGGCGAAGGGGCGCGCGCGTCAAGAAACGCACTGGCTCCATGGGCAAGCAACTCCCGCACCCGTCGGGCCAGCCGCCTACGAGCACTCGGGTGTCAGGACTCTTGCGAAGCAGTACCTTTCTCTACCTTGCCTTTCCGGCCTCTGCCCTTGCCCTGCCGAGGACGCGGCGGAGGGTCGGGGCGCGGAGTGAGCAGTCTAGCGTCAAGGCTGGTTTGGAACACGGCGGCCGGCTGGCTCGGCTCACGCGGTGTCAGTCGTCCTGTTGGCACCAAAGCCGTGCAGCGCGCGCTATCACGAAGGGCAGGCGGAGGCGCACTGGCAGGCACTCTCACAAGATCGGCTCTCGCCCGTCGAAGTCTCTGCTGATGGTATGGGTCCCGATCATCAGCATCGGGCACTAGTCTCGAGCATCAGTCTCGGCGCGCCTCCTCTCAGCTCTTCTGGTAGACGAGCTTCGTAAGCCCCCTCTGCATCGGGCCGCCAGGGGCGCCCCCGAGACGGCGCTGGCCTCCCTCCTTCCTGATCTCCTTCGCCAGCACCTCGCGCACGGCCTTCACGTCGGGCACGTGCAAGTCGGAGGAAAAGATCCGCCGCACTTTCTCCTCGTTCTGCTTGGGCTGCTCGTTCGTCTTGGCCTGGTAGTGCTTCACGCACGTGCCCAGCAGCTCGGGGTCCTCAAGGCAGACCACCTTCTGCCACAACTGGCTCAGGATGGGCTTGTCCTCTGGCGGGACCTCGCCCTTGATGCCCTTGGTCACCGACGCGACGACGACGAGGTGCGGGGGGCCCAGCGCTGCGAGGTCGACGGCGGAGTCGGTGGCGTGCCGATCCTTGAGCTGTTGCGCATCCTCGCTGTAGCCCTTGCCCGCCTGGGTCGCCAGGGTCGCCATGGGCTTGTCGGCGCCGAGCTCCGAGCACTCGTAGGTCACTGCCTCCAGGTCTTCCACGTCGTTGGCCGCAGTCAGCGTGAGCTTGGCCGTCACGGACGGCTACCTCCTCGAGGCGCTCGCAGCCCTCGTCGCAGCCCTTGCCTCTGGTCCTGCTCTCCTTGTTCGCGTGCCCTGAGCCCTGGTCCACTCCTCCCGTCAAGGCCCGGAGCGCACGCTTGCCCGTCCAGGCTGGCTCCGTCTCGAAGCCGTCGGCTGCCGACGCCGCTGCTGCACCCTCTGGCATGTCGAGGGCGCGGGCGGTCTTCGCCTGGCCGTCGCTGCTCCAAGCCCGGTCGGGCGATGGGGCCCGTCGGGAGGGCTGGCTGCAAACTTGCTCTGGGGAACGGACTGCGGAGGTGCTCATAGAGCTGTTGCTCGTGACCGTTTGCACATCCTCACAGCTGGCATCTCGGGGAGAAGGGCTCGATCGGTCTCGTCGTTCTCGTTATGTCTGGCGGGCACCGGCCAGCCAGGAGCGCTTTTATCAATTGCCGGGCTGCAGTCCTTCTCTCTCCAAACACCGTGCCAGAGTTTACACACGCGTTTGTAGGTGTGAGCAGTGACGCCACATCACTAAGCTTGTGCTTGCTACGCATGTGGGACATCAACGCCTTACGCGTACCAAAGCACGCACCAGACACCGTACCGCGGTGACCACATCCCGTCGGCAAGTCGTGGGCCACTGGAATTCCGCAAGGGCTAACATGATAGTCGTCGGCACAGTGGCTCCCGTCGGCACAGTGGTTTCGAGTTCACATTTCCAGGGGGCAATATCCGATAGTACCGCCTCCTCCTCCACTAAATGTGCTGCTACTGCCAATGAGGATGAGGATGAGGATGAGGATGAGGAGCATGATGATGCTGCTGCTGATGATGATGCTCATAATGATGGTGATGATGATGCTGATGATGGTGATGGTGATGATATGATGATGCTTATTATGATGACGGTGAGGAGGAGGATGAGGGTGCGGATGAGGATGATGATGAGGACGAGGACGAGGATGAGGAGGATGACGATGATGATGATGGTGCTGATGCTGATGCTGATGCTGATGCTGATGATGCTGATGAGGATGGTGATGATGATGCTGATCATGCTGATCATGATGATGCTGCTGATGATGATGCTGCTGTTGCTGGTGATGATGATGTTGATGATGATGATGATGGTGATGATGATGCTGATGATGCTGCTGCTGATGATGATGGTGATGGTGATGATGATGGTGATGACGGTGATGATGATGATGCTGATGATGATGATGATGATGATGATGATGATGATGATGATGATGACGATGACGATGACGATGACGATGACGATGGTGATGATGGTGATGATGAGGAGGAGGAGGAGGACGAGGAGGAGGGGAGCAGGAGGAGGAGGAGACGGAGGAGGAGGAGGAGGAGACGGAGGAGGAGGAGGAGGAGGAGGCGGAGGAGGCGGAGGAGGAGTAGAAAGAAGGAGGGAGAAGGAAACTGATTGGGACGATGGGACGGACAGAGGAGGTGGCTTGATTGTCTGCCGTCTGCCTTTGGGGGGGGAGGGTCTCGGGAGCACCCGTCGCCACGCTTGGGATTCACATCGAAAGACTGGTCGGAGGGTGCCCTTCGGCTCCCCACGGGTTGGTTTGCAGAGCGGATCAGCAGTACACCTTAGGCGATGCTTAAGAAAACCTAAGTTTTCGTCCAGAGTCTCGATTATTCTTAATTTTCCAATGTAAATCCCAAGATTTTGATAGAAGTTCTGGGTTTTATTCAATTTCTGAGACTGTGAATTTCTTAACCCATGATTTCTTGAGCATTTCGCAGGGTGTATCCTTCTCCTTTGTTCCGGGCCGCGGCTGGACGCGGCTCGTCAGGAGAGGCAGGATGGATGGTGCCCCAGGAGGGAGGGAGGGCGAGGGGGAGGCGACGAAGGAGATAGGGGGGTGGGCGTTTTTGACCCCACAGGTTGTGCCAAACTCATGTCGGAGAATGGCGGGAGGGAGGGCGAGAAATAATGATGGGGGAATGGAGGGATGGAAGAGGGGACAGCAGGAGGTAGAGGAGGGAGAAGGGGGTGGGAGGAGGCGGGAACAAGGAGCGGGGGGGAGCGGTGGAGGGAGGTGTGAGAGGACAGGAGAGAAAATGAAGGAGGACTGGCGCAGGCGGGAGAAGAAGAAGAAAAACAAGGGGATGAGGATGGAGAAGGGAGCAGGAGGGGGAAGGAGGCTTCTGGGATGAGGAAAAGTGAGGAAGGATGAGGAGGAGGATCGGATGCCAAGCGTCCCTCTTTGACTGCATTGGAGTTGTGGCTCTTCCTCCGCCTCCTCCCTCCTCTCCTTCCTCTTTTTGCCCACCTCCTCATTTTTTTCACCGTCTGCTGTGAGATACGCAGGATGCTTACTGATTGCCTAAGATATAGGGTGCGTAGGCAGATTGAGCGGGAGGGAGAGGAGGCTGCGATGGCGGGACGACGGGAGGAAGTGAGGAGAGCAGTATCGCGCTGATTCATCGTGAGGCAGATGTTGCGAAGGACCGCGCTCTTCCCGGAGGCCCCCCTGGACCGAAAAGATCCCCAACACTCTTTCAGGCAGACTTGAGGTCATGGATAACTTGGGTCCAGACCCAAAGCGTTCTGGATCGCTCCGAATCGGCCGTGGCGTCGGATCTTCGGGCCACGGCCCCGGACAAGGGGAGCCGATCAACGATGAGGCCCCGAAGCCAGCCAAAGACGTCGGAGGCACCAAACCAGGTCTTCCGTAGCGTGTGTTTTGCCGGTCACGACAATTCCGATGAGTGGAGAGAAGCGGGGGAGTGCCCCCCAGCTGAACCAGGTCCCATGAAACCGAGTCGTGCCAAGGCCCGAAAGACGTCCTCCAGAACCCGCCAGCCGAAGACGCTTCCGATACTTGTCCTCGCCCTGCCCTCGTCTGAGTCCTCTGGACCCAGACATCCCCCGATCTGTTTTTGTTCAATGCGCTTCCCGACCCTTCGTTGGGGCCTCCTCTCGACCCCGATCAGTGTTCGAAGGTCTCGGGGCCCGATGATGGGGCCGAGGGAAAAGCAGCATGTCGCCAGAGATTTGGGTATCCTGCCGCGCCAGCCAGGCGAACATGTGGCCCAGCCTGGACCCGCCGCGGCGCGGCCGCCGCGGCTGAGCCGCCCAGTGGCGCGGCCGCTGCGCGGCCGCGGCGCGCGGGTTGCCTCGGCGGCGGCGGCGGGCAGAACGCGCGCCGCGCTCGCGAAGGTCTCGGGGCCCGATGATGGGGCCGAGGGAAAAGCAGCATGTCGCCAGAGATTTGGGTATCCTGCCGCGCCAGCCAGGCGAACATGTGGCCCAGCCTGGACCCGCCGCGGCGCGGCCGCCGCGGCTGAGCCGCCCAGTGGCGCGGCCGCTGCGCGGCCGCGGCGCGCGGGTTGCCTCGGCGGCGGCGGCGGGCAGAACGCGCGCCGCGCTCGCGGGGGGGCTTGGGCGGCCGCGGGCGCGGGCGCGGCGTCGCGGCCGCGCAGCGGCCAGCGCCGCGGGCGCGGTCGCGGCTGTCCAGGCCTCTCATCGCCAGGCTCCCTGCCCAGAGTGATGTCCTTTGACGCCGCGGCTGTCCAGCATCCCCCGCCTTCGCCCGCGCGAGGGCGTCCTCCTCAGACACCAGATCCCCCCCCCCGGGCCTGCGTGGTGGGACGCCCGCTCGTCCTAAGCACACACTCGAGACATTCCTCCTGCAGCCATGGAGGCCTCCCAGATGAGGTCCGAGTAGATGGTGTCGGTGGATCGCGCTGGGCAACGACTCGGGATAAAGAGCCGGCCCCAGGGCGACAGCAGGGCTCCTTTTTGGATTCCTTCCAGTCGAGTCGATTCGATTTCGATGGCTTCCGATTCCGATTCGATTCGACTTGGGCTTCCGATTGGGGTTCCGATGTCTTTT